ATAAGCTAATTAAACTGACTTGATCAGCTTCAGCTTTAATCTAACGCTAATGAGTTTAAAGCTGAAATATCAGCTGCAACCCCTTACTTTAAAGATAACATAGTAAATGTGATGTATATACATTATAATAATACATGTGTTTTTTTACTTAAATACTTATTTTTTTATTTTATGATACATTTTTTTAAAACACGTGTTTTTTATAATAATTAATACATAGAAAATATTGACTCGCCGAATATTCTTTCAATAAAAATAATATTTTCTTACGTTACTCTAATCGAGGTATAAAACTATGCTTTTATTTACTCAAATCATTATATTTGTCCCCCTAAATTTATGCAACTCTGTTATACATAAGTCTCTCACTAATTCTAATAATGAAAAGTTATTTGCATTATTATTATAATTATATTTACTAACCTGTTATTATGAATATTTATCGAATATACGTTCTGGATGTTAAGGACTGTTACTCAAATCAGTATGCAAATATTGTCAACAGCCAGAGTGCACCATGCAAAAATATTTTTGAACATGCAGCAAAGTACAAGATTTACATAAGATACATATCATATTACCTGGAATTTTACATTTTATAGTGTTTAACATACAATAACTCAATTTATAATAAATAAGCATATGGTTATAATCTATATAATAATTATTATCTTTTTTTAGTGTGTTATTTATGTTAAAGTTATCATGTTAATTTAAAGTTTTATAACTAAAGTTTAAATGCAAAAGTTCATATCAATAAAAAATTGTTCAGTATTATAAACATAAGTATTATAATACTAGTATTTACAAGCATAGATATTGTAAGTAAAAGTTATTATGGTGTATATTATGAAATTATTGTTTATATTACAAGTGCACAATTTTAAATCAAAGTCAAAAAATATAAACGATTAAAAAATGAAGGTAATGCTTATAATAAAGACATTTTGTTTGCATTTAAACACCTAATTATATCTTTATTTATATCTGACGGTGGTAATTTTGGTTAACATAAGTCATCTTGCTTGCATAAAATATAGAAATATCAATAAAAAAAAAGTGGATCTGTAAAAACGATTTAAAAGCTTTTAGTTCCCTATATATAACTTATCCATCACATTTCATTCGCCTGTTTGCTCTTTTTAAATGCTTGTGACTAAACCAATATTTTGAACTCAAACCAGTTATTACAATCACTCGCAGAAACAAAACTATATTTTGATTATTTAAAAAATGCAAACAGTGTCTCAATGGAATATTTACTACATGTTTTTTATTAGTTCCCATAAGCCCAGACAAAAATCATACGGTACCCGTCTGTCAATGTTGGCTGAGCTTTCTGTTTCATTTTTTTAATCCCAGCTCAACAAGAACCGTTTATAATTGAAGTCTCCGCAGCTTAACTAATTGACTTGCGTTTATGTTCAAATTACGTTTCTGCCTTCTAGCTCGCATAAATTCAAGTCTGTCGAGAATTTATATTGAAAGCAATTCAAAGGTTCAGAAACTTTTTTTCTATTTGAATTAATAAATTATTCTTCACCAATAATAGAAACCCTTTGTCTCAATGAAAAATGTAGAAACAGATCTATCATGTTTTCTGATATCAGTCTTGTTATTTGTGGAGAGGCTGAGGCTATTGCTCTTGAAATTTCTTAAGCTTTTGATAAGTTTGGCGATATACTGGTTTTCTCTATAACCTTTCCTCATACAACTTATCTAGTAACATCTTTAAGGATGCTGAATTTTTCCTACCAATAGTATTGTCAAAGTTGCCATCGATGGATAGCACTCTTCTTCATATACTGTAAATTTAGGGGTTCCTCAAGTATTTTATCCTTGGCTTTATACTTTTTTTAATTTATATAAACAATCTCCCAAAAATATTTACATTAAAGGTGGTCGCTGATGATCCTATCGTTTAATCTTATCTTGATAAGAAACCAACACTCTCTTATTGCTTTGACGCACAATTTGAGCATGAAAAAGATATTTTCCTCTGTTATAAAACATTCCCAGCCAATATTGACATACGGGTACCGTACGGGGCCCATACGGGTTTTCAATACGGTCCAGTATGGGAAGACCAGTGGTATCCTGCCGGATCATGGCTGTGGTTTCCATATGGGGCTATATGGGTGAGCCCGCCAGGTATCCCGTATGGGTCCCAGTCAAATCCCGTACTTCAAAACCGTTAGGGACCCATTTGGGTCTGCAAATAGGACCCATATGGAAAAACCACGGAGAACCCGCCGGATCTTGGCCTCGGTTTTCCTCTGAGGCCCATATGGGTATGCCTGCTGGGTATCCCGTGAGAGTCCCACGAGGTTTACTCATTGCAAACCTTGCAAAACAACGTTTAAATGTTTAAAATTTACAGAAAAAGCAAATTTATATATAACTTGATTGATTTATTTCAAAAAAAATAGTAAATAAAATTATACACTATCGAAATTAAGTAAACATTTAAACGGTTCTTTTTAATCATGTATCGAATGCTTTCACAATTATCTCGGGATTTGGAAGCTTTTTCATTGTTGTTAAAACAACTTTTTTGAAAAACCCTCTTAACACAATATCTTGTTTCAATATAAGCTGTAAAAAAATTAAATTTAACTGTTAGTTTTGAATTTTATAGGTAACACATACATTATTTTTAATATGTTATAAAAATCTTACCATTTCACCCAACACTGTTCAGATGAAACACTCTTCAAATTTAATTTTCACGATCAAAGATAGAAAAACATAACCTTTAATTTTATAATCGACGTTTATTTCAAGGTTTTAAAATGAAAATATAATAGATAAGCACATTCTTGTGATTCATATAATAAATTGATAACATTCGTTTAATTTTTGATAAATAAATTATATAATACTGTTAAATAAATATACTTTTATACTTATATTGTATATACTTTGATATATATTGTATATAACTTATATGCAGTGTCGTGGCTAACAGATACAAGTTCCCCTCCAATTCAAAAGAAAAAATCGTCATAATTGCCCAAAATTTTTAAAAAGTTTTTAATAAAAAAAAAATCCGTAGATTTCTAAGAGGGCCCCTAAATTTGAAAATAAACCCCCTAGACAAAGCTCTGCTTATACGTATTTAACTTTATATTATTAAACTGTAAACAGTGTATCAATGCAATGATTACTACGATCAAAATAAGGAATACTAAACTTCTGTATATCATTTTGTACGTCTTTATTTGAGCAACCGTTTGATCTTTGAATAAGCTTTTTTAATTGACCTGAAAAAGTTTCGTATTTGAACAAGGGACATCTACTAAGTACTTAAAATTTAACTGTTTATTTCCAGGAAATGCTAATGAATAGACCTTGTAATCTAGTTGATCCTTATGATAAATTTAACGAATAAAACTTTAACAAATAAGTAGCTGACAAGCAAAAGTGACATTTTTATTCAACAAAGCATTATAAACTTAGAAATTCAACTGAAAGATCTAAAAAGTTTGAATAGATTTTTGGCTAAACCATTCCCTTTAAACATCTCGCCCATTATATACTAGCAATAAAGTATTGACTCTAATCTGAGACAATATACAAAACTTAAGCAATTTATCCATAAGTAAATGAGTCGTCACATACCCCTAACCATACTAGATGCATAAAATCTTAAGGAAATATTGTCACCATGTCAAAATTTAATTCAATTAAACAAACTACTAAGATGTTCAAAATGCCATTGATGACAAAAAATCTAAATCAGCGCTTAAAATTAGTGAAATAGGTGGGAGAATTATTTTTCCACACCACTCTCCTTTCTCAATACAACACTCACAACAGTTATAACTATTGTATCTTTTAATACACTTTACAAATGCTCTAGCTGGTGCATCACAAATAATAACAGCAAGATTGGTTTTAAACTCAATCTTCATAGATAAAACCATCTTTTGCAAGAACTTTGAAATCAACCAAAAAATTATGTAAATAGTTTAAAAAATTGGAATTAGAACAAAAATATAAAAGAGTTACGCTAAGAAAAATGAAAAAAAAAAAAGAGAAAATAAACGAATGAGATTAGTTGAGTTAAAAAATATGTAAAAGAAAACAAAAATTTAATCACAAAAGTTCAGAAGGATAAAGTAACAGAAAACAATTTTTGCAGAAAAATATAAAAAAGCAAATTAAAGGCAAATTCAAATAAAAAAACATAACATACACTGCTACATACAATATTAAAGGCTATATTAAAGGCTATATTAAAGCTTATAAACTAAAAATATAACTTGACAATATGGGTAGAAATCCTTCAGCATTTTAGAGTAGAACAAATCCCACACGAAAATTTAAAAGTTTTAATAAATTTCTTTATGTTTGGCAACCTTATGGGAAACTCGTCAAAGCCTAAGATTCTTTAGCCCTGATAAAAATCAAATAAAACTCAAATGAGCAAATATGCTTAATTTTATTACCACATAAGTATTATGGTTTCCAGACGTTTAGAACCTTGGCTATTTAGATGTATTGTACGACAAATAATTTATTTGTGTTTGATTACAAAAAATACTTTATAGAATTGCAATTAAATGTTTCAAATCAAATTTTTATTATTTTCATTACTTTATTTTTAGCAGTAATGGTAGTAGTAGTAACAGTAGTAGTAGTAGTAGTAGTAGTAGTAGTAGTAGTAGTAGTAGTAGTAGTAGTAGTAGTAGTAGTAGTAGTAGTAGTAGTAGTAGTTGTAGTAGTAGTAGTAGTAGTAGTAGTAGTAGTAGTAGTAGGAGCAGTAGTAGTAGTAGTAGTAGTAGTAGTAGTAGTAGTAGTAGTAGTAACAGTAGTAGTAGTAGTAGTAGTAGTAGTAGTAGTAGTAGTAGTAGTAGTAGTAGTAGTAGTAGTAGTAGTAGTAGTAGAAGTAGTAGTAGTAGTAGTAGTAGTTGTTGTTGTTGTTGTTGCTCTTGAAGTAGTAGTATTTTATAACTATATTATATACAAGTTACTCAATGAAGTATTTTCTTTTAAAG